TAGATGCGGACCGTCAGATCCGTGTCCTCCGATTCACACCCGGGGGGACACCGTGTCCAACGGCGTTCAACCGTATTCGTAGCCCGTGCGCGTCCGCCGTGTCTCCACGCGACGCTCTGAACGCACCGCGCGATCCTGGACGCACACCCCCGACGCCGACGCACTCGACCCTTCCACACATGGTGCCGACTGGAACACATGGCGAAACTGAAAAGGAAATACGACGTAGGCGCGCGACCCTGTGGCGCTCGTCAAGTCGTGGCTGATCGACAAGGAGCTCGCCACCGAGGCGGAGGTCAAGGGCATCGAGAAGCGCGTGCGCAAGGTCGTCGACGAGGCCGTGGCCAAGGCCAAGGCGGCGACGCCGCCGCCGCCCGGCGAGCTGACGCGCGACATCTACGTCGGCAAGTACGAGCACCCGCGCATGGTCAATGTGGGGCCCGGGCCGCAAGGAGGGCCCGCCTGAGCGGCGCCCGCGAAGAGAGGAGAGGGGCGGAGCGATGGGACATGGCGCGTCAGTGTGGGAGAGTGAGAGCGGTCGGGCGTTCTCTAGTCTAGTGCGGGGGTCGCGGTCGGGTTCGTGCGTGCGTCTCAAGGGTGGAGGGCGTCTCAACGGCTTTAAGCGGCGGACGAAGAGATATATGATAAAACGACTGGTGTCACACGGGGTCCCCCCTTTGCCCGGGGGGCGGAGGCCGAGGGCCGAGAGCGGTTTGGCGAGCAGCGTTATGCGTTGGGCCAGGTACCAATTTTGTCGAATTTATTTCAAAATCTGCAGGCGCGGAGCGCCTGCGAAAATTTTGAAGAAATTTGCAGTCGGGCCTGATTTTCATCAAGATCTTTCAAATTTGCGGTGTGGAGTTGGGGGGTGGGTTAGGTTAGGGTTATTAGGGTTAGAGGGTTAGGGTGTTAGGGTTAGGGTTAGGGTTAGGGTCAGGGTTAGTCTGGTTGTGTCTGTATATGCCAGCGTTGCAGGGTTCTGCGCTGGTATCTGGCCCCACAGCGCCGACGACTAAGACTCAGCCCCACACGCTGACCTAGGGTTAGGGTTAGGGTTAGGGTTAGGGTTAGGGTTAGGGTTAGGGTTAGTCTTCTTGTGTTTGTATGCCAGCGTTGCAGAGTTCTGCGCTGGGATCTGGCCCCAGCGCCGACGAGTAAGACTCAGCACCGCACGCTGACCCCACCAAATGCCGCCTCAGGGCGCCAGGCCGCCAGCCACTTCTTACGCGGCCGGCGCCCTCTCGCGGCAAAAGGGTCGAGCGAGCGGGCAGAGTCGCGATGTCTGCGCACCCGCGTGCCGATGGGCGGCACACGCAACCGAGAGAGGCCCTGTCGCGCCGCCAGTAGCGTTCTCCGCACTCCCCACGCCACCAATTGCCGCCTCAGGGCGCCAGCCACCTCTTACACGCGGCCGGCGCCCTCTCGCGGCAAAAGGGTCGAGCGAGCGGGCAGAGTCGCGCGGTGTCTGCGCACCCGCGTGCCGATGGGCGGCACACGCAGCCGAGAGAGGCCCT